AAAGACTTATAAGAAACGCACCTAGTCCGGAGTCCATTTCCAGAGGACTAGGTGCGTTCCTCTAAGTCTTCCTACCAATATGACCAAGTTGCGAAAACAAGGTCAAAAAACTTCTATGCAACGAAAGAAGACTGCGACCATCTTGGTCTTCAGACATTCGATATCAATTAGGGTTGTATGTAGACATACACAGTCTCGGTCAGGGCTTTTTCTAGGGTTATTAAGCTTTGAGGATCCGAGTCTGACATTTGGCCTATTCAATTGCTGATTTAGGACCGGTATTGAGTATAAACGTTAACACACGCGCACCCAGATACACTTAAGTCAAGGTACTATGGCCAATATAAAAGGAAATTAGCTAAATTATTCTAAATCTATGTATGCCTATACATTTTCGATTTTCGTTACGCAAGATAGAGCCGGATAGTCTTCGTTGTCTAGTGTTCTCTTGATACTTTTACAAGAATGAGTTCCAGCTCTGTTGATTCCAATTATTTGATGGACGAAAGCGTAGCCCGTTCTCGCTCGAAAGGAGGGAGGATGTCTAGTAGACTGCGTCGACCTGAACGTCATATTGAAGCCAAACGGCCGTCCAGTTTTGGTGAGATCCACCTACGAATCTCTTAATCATGCACTTTCATACCAAATGAAAATCTTTCCAACAATCTTATCTTAATAGCCTCATCGAAACCCAGTTGATCTTCGTATCTACAACTAAATTTGCGTCATTTTAACGAATCTTTAAATATTCTTCTCTGGGTTTTATTAGGGCTGCAGTACATTATTAGCATCTGAGTCTGAGGTTTATTATCATCCTTATCATCATTTGGCCTTTTTAAGTGCTTTACCGATAGGCCCAGAACTCCCATTGCGCTAGTCTAAGTCCATCATTTGATTGACTTCATTCGTCGAGCCGTAGCTTAGGGCTAAGAATGGCAAGACTCATTGACGATGCCGACTACGTTGCCACCGAAACGTATTTGAATGCAGCAAGTACACGATCCGATGCTGCGAATTATCATATCTACTATAGCAGATGGCTTCGGACAAAGTTCGTCTAACACTGTGAATAAGTTGCGAAAACTGAGTCGGACAACTTATATCCACCGATTTTCTTAGTTTAGTGTTCTATATTGCCTTATACGTTAGCTTGAACTTTGCTCACTCATTCCATGTGTACATTCGTTCCATGGACCTTAAAGACCAAGATGGTACGGCCTCTAGTATGCTCGCGGTTTCCATCCATTGTATATTGCAGTTGTATGATTTTATTTTCCAGCTTGGTCGTACTATCAGAAGGATTTAGAGGAACGCACTTTGTCCGGAGTCCATAGTATCCATGATAATGTCCAGAATCGGACCGTGGATGCTGGGTTAACGTCTGGGAATGTACCAAGTCAACCGTTCGACTCTGGAAATTATCATGGATTCTGTGGACTCTGACAAACCAACTAAGTTTCTCAGAGACATTCAAACAACCTATGTACATTTATCTGATTTTTCAAAAATTGTCACTTCTTCAACTTAGTGCTTTATATACAAATCTTGCTTTTATTCATTTTTCTTTCCCCAGGCATTTCCTCGTGTGCCTGCAAACTCCTTTCAGGCGGTTTTTCGCCGACCTTTTAGGCAGAACTCAAACTCTATCCGTCCCACCAGCTGGACCGAGGGAGCTGTTGGCAACCAGCCGGCTCGCCATCCATCCATCTCTTATGGTAACGCATATCAGCATATCCGGCCTCCTCCGCAGCACCAGCGGCCGAAGACGGCCTGCCTTCCTGCAGCCCAGCGATCTCCGCTTACTCGTGCGGTCAGCGGTGTCGCTGACAAGGGGAACAGTTGTAACGGCAACCAACCGACTCTGAATGCTACCGCATCAGTGAAAACTGGGCTGCCGACTGGGGACACAACAGACTTTAATGGATCTGCTCTATGGACCCTCCGTCGTTGCATCTTCGACTACGGTACCGACGAATCCTCTTTCCCCTCT